AATGGATTTCATCGATGAGATTGTACGTTGGCCAAACGTAGCAGTCTTTCCCCTTCTCTCTCGTTGATTGCTTCGGTTGCATCAGCAGCAGTTGTTCTTTTTTTATCATGTGTGAAATGTACACTCATTTTTGCCCTCAATCAAAGTGACAAACTAAGGCCGATGATGATTGTGGTGATTGGTGGTGGTGGTGATAATCACCACCTCCGATATCACCATTGAGAATGATGATGCAACTTGCTGATTTTCGGGTTGTCATGGTTTCGTCAAAAAAATGAAATTAAAGAAAATGCAAAAAATCAAAACACGTGTGTTGTGAAGAAAAGTGCTGCTACTTGGGGCGGCAGAGCACAAGCGGCAGTCATTCAGAAAGACAGTTACATCGTAGCAGCGGCACTCAAAAAGAAGCAGTGTAAACAAACTCCCGCAGCCGAATCCGTTTCAAATCTGTTTTCGAAACATCTTTAGAATCTTTGAATACTCCCAGAATCGAAACACAATCCACCAGCAAAGATGCCCAAAGTCGTCTCTCGAAGCATCCCCTGTGCGGACACGGCCAACCAGCAGAACTCCCATGAGTACCGCGACGAGACCGCTCTGATCGTCTACGACTGCCTCTGCGGCCAAATGTGCCTGATCACCGACACGCCGATAAAGCGACTTCCACTTCGTCTGAAGGACGGCGCCCGGGTCCTCGACCCCGCCCGAACCACTTTCAAACTGTACCTGGCTCAGGCAAAGTCTGAGGACGTCGTCTACCTGAGCACCAGCACTTCAGAACAAAACTCCTCCTCTTCAGATCAGTTCATCGAGCGACAGTTCGTGCAAAAATGCGCCCGATGCTCTCTGCCCATCGTCTACCGGAGCACGCCGCTTCCAAAGACACAACTCCCTGGTCAATCTGCGGATCAAAACGCCATTCTCTTCATCCTCGATGGGGCGCTCGTCGCGCGAAAGGTCGTCGATCCGAGCAAGCCCGGATTCAGCGGTGGTCGTGGAGGTAACTATCGAAACTCTTCCGATACTTACCAGAAATCGCGCGTCAACATCACCAAGAAGGACATGGGCAAGTTCAGCTCGGTGACCATCAGCACGGTGGACGAGGAAGAGGACGAGATTGAGGAGCGAGAGGTGGCCGACTCTTATGCGGCCAATGCGCGCATAATTGAGCGCAACTTGAAGCGCAAGAAGCTGGGCAATCCGGGAAGAGTAGACGCTGACAAGTCAGCTACGGGAGTTGCGGGAGCTTCTGGAGCAGCAGTGGACATTGTGACTCAGACGACTGAAGCTGTTCAAGAGTCAGAAAGAGCCAAGCGTCATAAAGTGGGGACGCTCATTGAGTGAACTGAACCAAATTCTCATCATCATCTTTCCTCTTTTCCTGTCACTGTAAATACACAAAACTCATCAAAATAAAAAATCTTTTTGAAAATTAGATTTATTGACAATAAAGATGTGATCAATTTATCAAGTGTATCATGTGCACACTGTGTATGTGTGTCTTTGACGTCAAAGGGTGCTTATGAGGTAATGATTATTATTAAGACAGGTCAGATAAGGTCAACAGGTGTGCTGGCTCAGAACGGGTCGCTTTTGAGCATAAGTTGGCAATAAGTGTCGTTCGCTTATTTAAGTTGATCGACGATTTTTCGACCTCCCCAGCTACCACCACCACCGCTGCCTCCTCCGCTACCACCATGACCTGCATGATTTCAAAAAGAAGTTCGTTAGTTTAATTAGTTACCAAGA